CTCAGGCCGGCTCTGTCCTGCGCCCACCACTGCCCAGCAGCCTCCAGGCAGCTGCTGTCCGCCTCCCTCCCACCGCTGCCCTCACCGTCTGCCTTCTCGTGGCCCTCCCGACCTGAGAAACAACTTCTCTGGCAACAGGAAGTGGCAGCCTTGGGCCTCGGCAGCCCTCTGTGCGGCGTGTGGCAATGGGAAGACGCGGTCAGTGAGGCCGGGGAGGACGCGGCGCCTCCGCCTGAAGCCCCACAAGGAGGACACGTGAGCACGGGGGTCAGGAGTCCCGTAAGCGTGGGGGGACTGGTGGGGTGAAGCTGCGGGCCAGCTAAGAGGCTGCAGGACTAGGAGGGCACACAGCTCCGGAAGCAGGAGGACCCCTGGGCCACGTGGGCACACAGCTGGGAGGCCAGGGCGGAGGCTGGGCTGAGGGCCAGGAGAGGGTGAGGCCGGAGCCAGGCCGGGGCCTCGGACGGACAGAGGGTGGGGGGAGAACTGCGCAGGGAGATGGGCCTTAAGCGGGCGGGCTGGGGCTCGACAGCGAGGCTCGCGTGAGGTCCTGGAGGCAGTGGTGCACAGGGTGGCACTCAGGGCGACGTGCAAGAAAGGGTGGCGCTGACGGTTGGGACCACAGCAAGGAGGAGACAGACGTGCTGGGTTCTGAGGAAGAGCAGGTGGCGGGCCACCGCCTCAGGTCTAGGATCGCGGGAGAAACCCTGGCTTCCGTGGGGAGGCGCTGAGCCCTGAGCCCAGGTGAGACTCCCAGGTGGGGCGTCTCCAGGCGTTTGGTCAACCTGGGCTCCTGGGCTTGGTGGAATAAGAAGAGGACAGGGCCAAGTAATTTCTTGCACGTGTGACAGCCGGCAGCCCTTACCTGCTCTCCCCCACAGAGAAGGGGCCAGGCAGAGTCGGAAGGAAGGAAGGAGCAGTTGATGTGGTAAGAAGCTTGCTCTTCCCTGTGCCACCTCTGCCAGCCTGGGTGGAAGTGCCTGAGGGGCCCAGGGGATGGGTCAGACCCCGCCTGCCCTGGGCGCCGCCTGGCCTGGGGACAGAGCCTGACCCAGACCTGCGGGGTAGCCCCGGCCCAAGCCAGATGGGCGCTGAGGGCCGAGTCTCCACACGCCCGCAGCCAGAGACCTGGTGGGGAGGCGGCCGCTCTGCTCTCTGCTGCTCCGTGGCAGCTCTCCCACAGCCACCAGGGAAGCTGGACCGGTGAGGCAGGGGCTCTGGAATCGGCAGCCCAGACCCCAGCCCAGCTCCCACTCTGGATCCAAGGCGCCGGGCTCCATCCGCACCCAGCGCCCTGGGCCCAGGCCGGGGCCTCTGGTTTCCTGTGGCGCCGCCCTCTCCCCCTTCTCCCTGCGGGCTCCGGGCAGCAGCATCTAATGAGGCTGCCTGCCTGGCTCTAATTGGACTCTCTGGGAGCGCTGAGATGGGGCAGGAGGGGGCCGGTGACCTGCCTGCGGCCCCAGGGGAGGGGAGGAGCTGAGCACAGCCCCAGCGGGGGCAGGCTGCGGCCACTGTGGGCCACAGACTGGGACTGGGGCCGTGGGACAGCCTGTGGCCCCTAAAGGTGGCCAGAGGGCACCTGGACATGGAGGGGTGGGCAAGGGGCCCCAGGTAATAGAAGCTGGGAAGGAAGGGCCAGTCAGGGCCGGGAGCTTGGACGCCTTCTTGGGTGGGAGTCGACGAAGCGCCTGGCTCCCGAGGGTGCGGCCGTGAGCGGAGGGCTGGAGCTCCGGTGCCGGGGCACGGACATCTGGGGCTTAGGGATGCTCCAGCGGGCGCTTGAGGTCTGGGTGCCCAAGGAAGCACATGTGGGGCTTGGCGGCGGTGCCCAGGAGGGCAGAGGCTGGCTCGGGCCTCAGGACGGCCGGGTCACACTCTCCCGCCCAGAGGCCCAGTCCTCAAAGGAGGCCCGTGGGACAGACGCTGAAAGACGCGGCACCCGGGCAGGAGGGGGTCTCCTCAGGCCTTTGGCTCTCAGGTGATTCTTGGGTGCCTTTTGGGGGTGAGAGACAGAAACCTCCACTCAGGGATCCCCGGAGATGAAATAGCTGCCCAACGCTCACCCCCCGCCCCCCTTGGTGAAATCGCAGACTCTTGAGAATTGGGCAAAACTCACCTGACTTTTAGACAGCCATGAATGGCTCCCAGGGCCTCAGGACGCCCCCACCCCGCCCCCACCCCCCTGCACAGACCCATCCGCAGGGCCTGGCTAAGAGCCTGCTTAAGGGGCCCCCAGACCCAGTGCGCCAGTGAAAGCGGTAGAGGAGAAACATGCTGCTGTGACTTTGCTGTCGCCCCAGGTTACCCGCAAGGGAAGAAGAGGAAGCAGGGACCCTGGTCCTGGTAGGTACCCCTCCTGGTCCCCCACTCTGGGCCTCAGCCTGAAGCTGCAGCCCTTCCCCCGGCCCCCACCCACTCCCCTGCAGACAGGAAAACCGTTTGGCCCAGAGATAACAAGGCCTCGCTGCTGTAGCTAATGAGAATGGCCGGTGCAGGGGGTGGGGGAGTCCTGCGGGCCAGTGGGCGGCCAGAATGTTCCCCGGGGACCTCCAAGCACACACAGCCTTGCTCAGCCGCCAAGCCACAGCCTCACAGACGCAGCTACACCCCCAGATTGCGAAAATGCACACGCACATGCGCCCACACAGCGGCAGGGCCGGCCCTCCCCAGCCAGCCTCGGAACTCCCTCCCGCTGGCCCGCACCTCTGCTGGCCAGGGGGCGGGGTGCAGGCGGCTGGGGAGCATGGGCGGGCGGGATTCTGCCCCCCAGCAGGGAATGCGGGAGCCTGGCCTGCGTCAGGCCCTCTCCCAGACGCTTGTGCCCTTTCGGGTCCCAGAGGGCTCCTGGCCGCCCGCCCCAAAGCCACCCGAAGCTGCTCCTGGTCCCCTCCCGGACTGGCAGCTGTCAGGGTGGGAGGGGGGTGAAGGGCCAGGCCAAGGTACCGCAGAGTGGCGGAGAACGGCTGCTGGGTTGGTCTTTCCTCCAGCTGTTTTATTGCCCCCAATTGTCCCCCCCAGCCCCACCCCCCGCCCCAGCCATTTCCAGGGAGCAGAGGCCACATGGGGAAGCCCAAGACCTGGGCCCGGCTGGAAGTGGCAGGGCGGCCAGGGCGTATTTGGGCCTTTTTCTACTGAAACCTTTACCCCTCATCCCCCACTTTCCCTGAGCCCCCTTTCTTGGGCCCCCTCTGCCCCTCAGACGTCTCAGCTACCCACATCCACTAGTTTCTAGTCAGCTTGGTTCGTCCATTCGCCGCTCTGATTCCTTCCGTGCTCCTAGATGTGAGACTGTCTTGTGTTTACCTCTCTGATGCCTCCCTGCTCTCGGGCTTTATGCCAAAGCGGGGTTTGCCCTGGGTACCCCCCACCCCATACCCCCGCGCTGGGGCGGGGCCTGGAGAAGACCAGACTCCCGGGAAGATGGCGGAGGCTCAGCCCTAGCCTGGCCCAGCCCCATCCGGCCCGGAGCCCTGCTGGTTTTGTTTGTCACCTGCTGGGTCAGTCTCAGCCTGGGGCTGGTGAGGTGGCACCGGCAGGGGCCCTGTCCAGCAGGTGGGGAACACGGGGTTCGGAGCGGGGAGTGGCTGCCAAGGACACACAGCAGGAGCTGGCAGACCTGGGGCCCAGCCTGGCTCTGCGGCTTGGGGACACGCTCTGCGCCCCCGGGCCCCCCTTTCCAGGCACTCACTTTTGTCTCGTGGACTGAACCACGGCCTCTCCCAAGCCAGGACACAGTGACGCAAGTTTGTCTCCTTTGTCCTTCCAGGCCGATCTCCCCATGCCTCAGGGAGCCACCCACCCGGGAGATGGCCTGGAAAGCCCTGAGAGGTGAGGGGAGCCACAGGCTGAGCGGGACTTGGGGGCGGTGCGGGAGCCCCGCACAGACCCTGCTGTCCTCTTGCAGCACTGCCCAGCCGGAACTGCGGGGAGCCTTGGTGCCAGTGGTGAAGGAGCTGGTGGCAGCCAGGAGCCCGGTCTGGAGCCAGCTCAAGCTGCAGCCCCAGCCCCCCCAGCGGCTCAGGTGTGCCCCGAGGCATCTCCAGGAGGGCGCTGGCCAGGCGTGGCCCCTCTTTGACCCGTCTGCCTCCACTGCAGGGTCACTCGGCACCTCCTGATCCCCACGCCAGTCCTGGGCCTGCTGCTGCTGCTGCTGCTCTCGGTGGTGCTGCTGGGCCAGTCCCCGCCCCCCAGCTGGCCCCACCTCCAGCTCTACTACCTGCAGCCTCCCCCAGTGTGAGCCCCCCTGGAGCAACGTCTGTTCAATGAACTCCCAAGGCGCCCTCTACCCTTGCCCACTGTTGTACCCCCTTACTGGGACTCCCCCTACCAGGGCCCCGACACGGTGCCCCGGGGTCTGCACCCCCAGGGTGCGTGTTTACCTGAAGTCTCCCGAGTTTGCTTGGTGGCTACACTTCCTATGAGCAGCCCCCATCGTGGGTTACAGCAGCGGGGTGGCCGGGGCTGGAGCGCTTGGCTCCCCAATTCTCGCAGCCCTTCGGTCACGCTCAGGAGGTGGCGGCCAGCAGCTTCATGTCACATCGCAGGGACAAGGGGACACATCCTTTTTGACAAAGCAAGTGGCAGCCACCCCAAAGCCAGCAGCAGCCTGGGTTCATGTGTCACCATTTGGATGACACTCGCTGCAGGGGAGGCTGGGCGACGAACACCTCTCCTGGCAGAAAAGGGGCGAAGGGGAGGCGGTCAGGCACACCTACAGGTGTCAGCAGCACGCGAAGGGCCTGCGGAAGTGACCCGTCCGCCTTTGCTGTCTCCGCGAGCGGTAGTGACTGTCCATGGCCGCTGGCCCTTGGGCGACAAAGCTGTGGAAAGGCCGTGGGCGCTGCCTGGGTGGGGGGCGGGAGTGGGTTTTCTCCCAAGATGGCGGGAGCCCGGAAAGGTTTTGGTTCTTGTTGTGGGTTACTTAAGCTTCACGAGGCACAACTTTCATAGAAATAAATGGATGACTGTTAGCTGGGTGGTTTTTGCACGTGAAAATGCCCCGGAAACCCAAAGTCGACAACTTCCGCACCACCAGGTGCTTCGTAGGAAGAGTTTGGAGCAAGGTGGGGGGCAGTAACTACTATTTAAAGTCAGTGGTAGAGGTGCCCAGGATCAGGGGAGCCCAGAGGACTCTCGGACCCCGCCGGGAGGTTGGGGTTTCCTCCCAGGCCAAGCCTGCCCCCCAGCTGGCCCCACCTCCAGCTCTACTACCTCCAGCCCCTCCCCAGTGTGAGCACCCCTGGAGCAACGTCCCTTTCAGTGAATTCCCAAGGCGCCTTCTACGCTACCCATTGCTGGGCCCCCTTACCGGCCCGCACCCCTTGGGTGTTTAGCCAAGGCTGCTTAGCCCTGGAAGCCAAGCATGGCTGGGCGCAGTGAGGGTGTCGGCAGTGGGGCCACGCCCTAAGTGGGACCCATTCTGAGCTCATTTGAGATGGGGGGGCGTGTCTATTGGAGGAGCGCTCTCAGTGTAGAGTTGGGGTCTGGGGATATTAGCTGTGTGGGGGTGAGCACAGTTGTGGGACTGGCTGGAACTTCCAGATAGAGAGGAGAAGGGGTTTCCCGCGCCATGTGTGAACAGCTCAATGCCGGCTGAAGTGGCCCCGCCGAGCGCAGCCAACGCCGCGCCTCCAGCAGGGCGCTGGCATAAGGCGCTATCGTTTTGATGCCGGTTCTCCCTGCGAGGACGGAAAGGCCTAGATTTCAGAAGCTGCACGTTTCCAGCTCCCAACTGTCCTTTACTAGCTGACTCTGCCGGGGAAATAACGATTTTCGGCATCTGGTTACCATTCGTTGTAACATTTAACCAACTTCGGATAGTTTTGGGAAATGCAGCTCATCATTATTCAGGATTTCTGAGCAATACTGAGAAACAGCCCCCCTCCCGCC